CCTTTAAGGCAATCATTGTCATTATGTATAAAATTGAGCGTGTTCACTCTTTTTCCACCCTTATTATATGTCAGTGCTATTTTATTCCGATGTTATATTGATACGTGATAACTTAGATTGTGTCGATAACGCCGCTCCCACTTCACGAGTTTGTACATCCCCTACGGTGATACAAATGATTACTGAATATCACGTATTATGACATTGTGCTGCAAATGATTACTGAATATCACATATTATGACATTGTGCTGCCCTCCAATGGCATAACGTTATGACAAGAAATCTTCATTATCAGTGAAATCGTTCCCTTCTTTCTCGTGGGTGGACACGGGAATAATTCTGTGACTGCTTGGCATTTGTTTTGCCCGAGTTTCGCTTCCTGGATATGAAGTAGAATAATATTGTACACGAAAATGGGTAAAAAAAAATAGGGTGAAAAGTTACCGTCCTGTAATCTGACAATGGAATGTTTCTGTTTCATTCATGTTAAAGAGGTTGGCTGGCCTGCCGCTGTAAAATAAATATCCGGTGTGGAAAATCCAAGGTACGTTTCTCGCTTGATATGAAGAGTTGTTTATAACTAATAAGACGGTGGTATGTGTGTGTACGTTTATATACATCTATGTACAAGTTGTGATTAATGATATGCCTGAACGTATATCTTAAAAGATTCAGTGAGATAGTGCAAATGGAAGGCTTTAATGTATGTATTATCCTGGACCGAGTAATGGCGAGTGCAAGAAATTTTACAAACATGTGTTTCCTCTGAAGAAAGCAGTATTCTTGGATTTGAGAACCGGTTCTCACGGTCTCTTCGCTTGCGGATTTCTTATATTTTTCTTCTGCCCTGAAGATGGAGGCGATACGTTCCTCCGAACCGTCGGTTAGCACCACATATACACGGTGCCAAATCCCAGAAGACTTATTTCTTCATACTCACCGCCGTGTAAGCCTCAAATCTTACATGTGTTTCCTCTGTCCCACAATGAAATCGAAGTGTTTTCCTTTGAAACCCGAGACTGAAGTATGTGTGATCGAAGAATACACCATAACGTACATTGAAAATAAGTGCATCTAAAAATAGTGGGTGTGTAGTGAAAGACAATGTGTGTTTGAGGTTATTCTTTTAGTATTATTAATCATCTCTTGTGAAGCATGTACAGTGATTTGCACAAAATGTGTTATGTAGTTATATGGATAGAGTGAATTATATTCTGTGAGTGCATGTTTGGTATGTCAGAAAAAAAGGGGTCTAGTTTTGGTATTTTGACTCTGAATGTAACACATGTGAGTAGGTTATTATTCAGAATGGTATCTTTTTTTGGTATAAGTACTTGTAAGAAGAAGGTGCAAAGTGAATTTCTAGTTCCCATTGAAGAAGATATTTTTTTAATTTATATCTTAGTTCTGTGTGTCAGAGAGTAGTGGGTATAATGTATGTTGGTTTGTTCACAATAATGTCGAGTGTAAAGTGAAGTTTAAATTCTCTAGTGTGACGTTATATTTTTGTGTGTAATGTATACAGTGATGTGTAGTGAGGGTTTGTAGTGTTTTCAAGAATGTTAAAAATTCCATTCTCCCACAGTGGATTCAAAAGTTTCCAGTTTTACGTACATATCTTGTTTGCATAAAGAATTCTTGCTTATAACAAGGTGGTATTATAAGTGGAACACATGCTGGCAATCCTCTTAAATTACAGTGTAAAATGTGCACAGTGGTGTGTAAAGTATGTGTTGTAGCCTGAAGAATGATGGCAAGTGATATCTATGTTAGATGTGTATTTGGGTGTGATAGGCAACGGACTACATTCTTGCCATCTAAGATTCCAGGCTTACATGTGCTAGCAGGTAGTATACAGCATCAGGGAATGATTTTCTTTCCATCTATTAAACTACTTGGAGAATCACGTTGTTTACATGAAAGCAGGAGTTGTTACAGCTGACATTCTTGTAATTGTATTTTATAGTTTAGTCTAGAACATATATAGTTATATGTTGGTTTTTTGTTTGAATGCTTAGAAGAATTTTGAATGATGTAGTGTTAGGTAGAGATGGTAATCAGTGATTCCCTATCTAATATTTGAGCAGTAGTATTGTGGGGTGGATACGTTTCACATAAAATATATGTATGTCCTTGACATATGTCGAAAAACGTAATAAAGTTAATAATGGGAACATTCGAAAAGAGAATATTTTGGGAACTGTTGGAAATTGTAAGAGTCAGTGAAGATAATTGTGATATCATGCACTTGAGAGCGTTCTGAAATGTCAATATTTCGGAAAAAATGCATTTAAGGCCATTATAAATATCGTAATATACTCCAGGTTTCATAGGTTACGTAGAAAGTTTAGTTAGTTCTAAACAGTCTTTATATAAGGTACGTATTTTCGGTATTATGGAGCCCTAAGTGTGGAAGGAGCATGTCGCAGTTGTCATGATGTATTTGGTTTGTTTCACAGACTGCATTGAAGCTGTTTTATCCGTTTTGTTTGTACAAGAGTATTCTTTGTTAAATTACCTGGGCTGAACTCGCAGTCGAAATAAGGTTGTCTGTGTTTTAATTGCATTAAGTCATTATGTGTTGCTGTCTCGTCACTAAAATGCAGGGCAAAATCACGACATAACTATAGAAAACATGTTTTGAAACTGTGGCACAGTTCAGATATTTGGGAACAACGATAACAAAACAAAACATGATTGAGGGGGAAATTAAGAGAAGATTGAACTTTGGTGATGCTTGCTACTATTCAGTCCAGAACCATTTGTCTCTTGTTGTCTGCTGTCCAAGAACATAAAAATTAGAATGTACAAAACTATAATTTTGCTTGTGGTTCTGTGTGGGTGTGAAACTTGGGCTCTGACATTAAGGGAGCGACATAGACTGAGGATGTCTGAGAAGAGGGTGTTGAAAATATATGGACCGAATAGGGATGAAGTGACAGGAGGTTGGAGAAAACTGCATGATGAGGAGCTTCATAACTTGTACTCTTCTCCAAGTATAATTAGAATAATCAAGTGAAGGAGGATGAGGTCGGAAGGGCATGTAACATGAGTGGGAGAGAGAAGGAATTCATATAGGGTATTGGTGGGGAGGAAAGGGACCACTGGGAAGACCAAGGAGTATAGGTGAGTGGACAGTATTTTAATGGATCTTAGAGTGATAGGATGGGATGGTATTGATTGTATTGTTCTGGCTTAGGATAGGGACCAGTGGAGGGCTCTTATGAACATGGTAATGAAACTTCGGGTTCCATAAAATGCTGGGAAATTCTTGAGTGGCTGCACAATTTGTGGCTTCTCAAGAAGGGCTCAGCTCCTTAAGTAAGTAAGTAGTAAATAAGTCATAATGTGTTGCAGGAGTGGGATGTACTTTCGCGCTAGCTTTAGTTTGGTTAAGGTGCAGTAGCGTACCATAATTCAGTGTAAAATTATAGCATTTTGGACATTATAATGGATGCATTAATTAAAAGCCTATATGGCCAGACAGGAAAACTGCATTAGCCACTGGGAATTCACCAGTGTTGCGAAGTTCGCAATATGCAGAACGCCACTCTGACAATTGTGTATATATCATTTGCACTAAGAAAATTTGTTTAAATCAAGACCAGAAAAATAACAGCATCGAACAGAGGGTTATTTTCTGAAGCTGTGAATTCCAGTTGAATGTTTGCAAGTTAAGGGGTTCTCTGAGTTAAACTTCTTATCGAAGGCATGCACACGCTTTCAGCCAGTTTTTCTAATGCTTTTATAAACAATACATTGTTCCTTCAGTGATTATTATAGATTTAATGCTGTCCTGTATGTAGCCGGTTTCCTGGTTTGAGTAAAGATAATTTTTTGTATAGATGTAAGAACTGTCACCATAGCAGTGGTCACATTATAGTTAAAAGAAATTAATTTAGAAGATCTGAGTTTTTCACGGCGGTGACTGTGAAGAATGCCGTCTTCTGGGATGTGGCGCCATGTAGATATTGTGTAAACCTACCTCCATCTTCAGGGTATAAAATTCTGCGAGCAAGGAACCTGCATGAGCAGGTGGCCACCTCACTCTTGGATTTTTATACCCTGAAGATGGAGGCGATACGTTCCTTCGAAATGATGGTTTACACAATATGTACATGGCGTGACATCCCAGAAGATGGCATTCTTCAACTTAATTTTGGTTTGTAAATGAACCAAGCACAAGTTGCCCAAGTGGTTCATTCATTCATTAGTTCACCATAGATCCATTGAGAAATTACATTCTGTGGATGTAGTTACCATCATGACAGCTTAAAGACATAATGCAGCAATGCATTAGTCAATAGCACATACATAGTGCATGATATATAATAGATACATTGTAAAATATTAAAAGATATACATCACGCATAAACCTCTATTGTACAGTATTGATATGCTCAAATGTACAGAACTATTAGGCTTATTTTGGCCTCTATCCATCGTCTGGCATATATAAGACAAAAAACCACAACGTTTCAGATACTGGATCTGTCTCCATCCTCAAGTGAATGGGGAATGATAGACCTACTCAGTTGGGCCCGTTAGAAAGAGATAGTCTCAATCACTGGACAAAGTGTCAGCATTTGACATCCAAGTATTTGATTTGATTGTGCATACATTGTCACATATTTTCATTGAAACTAAGAAATCAGTATAACTTATAAGCATTGTGTACTTGGAGACAGAGCCTTATGAAACAGGACCATTTTTTTCCAGACATATTTGTGTTTGTAGGAAAGGAGTGGTACAACACGTTAAAATGGGTCTATTTTCCAGTCCCTGGTGTTGGATAAATATGCACTGTTGGTAGAATAATAACTGATGGGAAACCTTTATCTCAGTGCCACTTTGTCTACCAGACATCCCACATGGGACTTCTGCAGTGAGAAGCCAGCTACTAAAATAACATGAACCTTTTTTTGAGAAAGGAAACAGTATTGACAGCATTAGTGTTGGATCTCATTGACTTGCCTCTTCATGTATGTTCTGTGTTTAGAGATCATGGTTGGAATGTGGACACCAGAGCCTTCACGAGAACCATATGATGAGAATCTGTCGACCGCTGAAGTAGGAATGGTTGTCGCGGAGCAGGATAGTTCTGACAGTGAAGATGAGAATCTAGTTTATGGTGGTTATGAACTTCTTTCACAAGTACCAACTGATCTTCCTAGTAGTGGAATTGAAGATGTAGACGTGAGTGATATAAGCTGAATGGACTGCACTCATGTTTATTGAGAGAATAGTAAAGTTTCAGGATTAATTCATAAACTGTTCCAAATTGTGTCTCTTGACTTGCTGCTTATTAGCCCGTGTTTAGAAATACCAGTACTTACCAGCTACCACAGTAGGCCATTGTTCTTTTATTAGCCAAATGACATCAGGTGTGAGAAGATGTTAAGCATATAACATGCATGTTTTGTGTGTTGCGTGTTGTGATCAGGATAGTGGTGAAGGCAGAAGCCATTTCCAGATGGGAAGGTCTGTATGTCATGGAGTTGGACTTTCTTGAAATTTGAGTATCTGTTCTGGGATATAAATAACAAGACAAATTTTTCTTTCTTTTTCACAGTAAAAATATTTTTATAGAAATTATGAATTTTTTAAAATCATGACAATGGAATTTAGCTTAAATAGAGATAATGAATTCATATAAATTAAATATCTCCATCACTGATTGAGATATTTTCCTTCAGTATGCTTTTATCCCCATTTTATATGCATATATTTTCTTTATATTTGAAACCTTGCATGGCATTGGGTGACACTAACATACAGAGATAGAATCTTTTAAGATGTTGGAGAAAGAATGAAAACTGAAGAATGTAAACAGTTCTAGTCTAAAGAAGGTTCAGATTTTAAAAATGGATGAATGTTTGGTGATTTTACCATGTCTGGAATGAACAGTGTCCTTTTTTTTTTTTTGTTTTACAATGCTGTCAGTGTCTTAGACTGTAGTGTCAAATGTAGGATGAGTGATGAATGATAAATTTGAAAAGAGCTGAAAGAAGCAGTCATGGCCTAATTGAGGTAGGATCCCAGCATTTCTCTGGAGAGACTGAGGAAAGTCATGAAAAATCTCTGCCACGAGAGCTGGTGTCCTGGTTGACATCTGAACTCAGCACCTCCTGAACATGAGTCTAGAGAATTGCTATGCCACTCCCCTGCTCAGTCATTTTTGTTTCCTTAATTTCTTCTTAATAATTAAAGTTCTGTATTTTATGTCATTTTAGCACTACATTAAGAATGTGTATTGTTTGTTTAAAATGTTGTCATCACACCTTGAATAAACAGCCTTTCAGAAGAACGGTCTTTCGTGTGTAAGTTTTGAGGTTTTCACAGCGATGACTGTGAAGAAAGTCATCTTCTGGGTTTTGGCGCCGTGTATTATTCGTTTTGGCTGACGTTCCTCTGAAACGTCGGCCAAAACGAATAATACATGGCGCCAAAACCCAGAAGACGACTTTCTTCAGTCTTTCATGTGCTTTGAGATCCCCAGTATGGCAACATAGGCTGAAAACGGAATCTAGTTAACTTTTAGTGCTTATGTAATATCTACATCACTGTCTAATGACGATGCACCTTGGATGTGTTTTAGACATAGCATAATCATTTAATTTTGCTTCCAGTTATAGTGAACAATTGTTATACATCTAGCATGAAGAATTTATATTTTCAGAGTTGGAAATATTTTGGCTCTAATTAGCAGACTTTTGGATGTAGTTTATATAAGGAACATGTGTATTGTTAGGGCATTATTTCATACCCTAGAATGAACTTAGAAATTAAGAATAAGGGCCTAAAACAAGTGCCAGAACTATATTAAGGAACTCTGCCTGTTCAAGACAGAAAATTCTATATAAAAAGGAGATTTTCTATACATTTAGAGAACATCCAGCAGTTTCATCTTCTGCTGGTTATATGGAGAGGAATTTCATGATACCTCAGTTGTGATAGCAGACGGAAAAATTCATGTGTATAGAAGAGTTAAACAGAGCACAGAAAGGACTAAGAGTATTACATCAAGACCACTTTTGCTGGTATTCTGGCAGTCTGTTTCTTTTATACCCAGATTTGTAAGAGAATTTTTGTATTCTAGGATTCAGTGAGTGCTGGAGATCTCCCTGAATCATCTAAAATAGATGGTATGGTTACTGCTGCTGTAGACATTGAAGATAATGGTGCTTCACAGATGGTGTCATATCAGGTACTAAATGAAATGGAGCTTTGTAGCCAATAGAGGTCCTGTGATTTTGGTGTTTTATCATTTTCATTTTTAGAGAACACTGACTTATTAAGCTTCTTTTCTTGTTCACTGTATGCGTAAGTCCAAGCTGAACTTTGTCTAAAGTTATCTCTGAGCAGATGTTTCTCTAACTCTTAATTCTTGTAGATAGTACGAGGATCGTTCCGTATATAATGCCTCCTATTCTTTTTAAAGAAAACTACAACAGATACAGAAAGCATAATAATGCAGTTAAATAGAGCAAGATTTCAGCTATTTCTTCTTCTATGGCACAACAGCCCGATGTCGGGCCTTGGCCTCCCTTATCAAGCCCCTCCATTCCTCTCTATCCTGCACTGCTCTCTTCCAGTTCCTTACACCCATTAACTTCTTTGCATCTTCTTCCACCGCATCAATCCATCTAGTTCTTGGTTTCCCAGCATGTCTCCTACCGCCTATTGTACTGTATAATATTTTCTTTGGGATGCGCTCCTTATCCATTCTCTATACATGCTCAGCCCATTGCAATCTTTTAAGCTTTATCGTCACTGAGATCTCTGGCTCCTTATATAATTTGTATAACTCTTTATTATATCTTATTCTCCATATCCCATTCTCTTTTATTGGTCCATAAATTCGTCTTAGGATTTTCCTCTTGAAAGAATTGATGACTGATTCCTCTTTCTTGTTTAGCGTCCAACCCTCACATCCATAATAAAGCACCGGTCTTATCATTGTTTTATATATTTTTGTTTTAATCGCTAGGTGTATATCCTTTGATCTGAAAACTGATAGTAACAAGAAATATGCACTATTTGCTAGTTTTATTCTTCTTGTTATTTCATGATTTTCCTCTCCGTCTTTGTGGAATTTTGATCCTAAATATATGAAGTCTTTATTTCTATCCTGTCCCCTTCCGTGTTAATTTCTCCAGTTTGCCTTTGATTCCTTCTAGATTGTATCAGCATTTTAGTTTTATTTTCGTTCACCTCTAAGCCAGTTGTTTTGCTATGGTTTTTATTTCTTTATATGTCTCCTTCATTGCTCTTAGGGATCTCGATAATATAATAATATCATCCGCATATGCCATTATTTGCGTTTGTTTATACGCTGTTGTATTCCCTGTGTCTACATTACATTTCCTCACTATATATTCCAATACCAAATTAAATAGTCAAGGTGCCAAACTATCACCCTCTTTTAATCC